ACCGAAATCTGACCGTGTTAAAATGCACTGCATGGGATGCTCCGCCGTGTGGCGAGTGGTAGTGGCCCCGTTCTCATAGCACACTGCACACAGGTCGTAGTCATAGCAAATAAGACACTTGTATCGGCGCCCCCTGAAGTTACCCTTTAAGCAGGAATCACAGCTGACAGCTGTCGAAGAAAATAAGACAAAATACATCAAACATTGTTAAATAGTAACCGTGGTTCCAAAAGTTCTTCCTGTACACACACAACCTATATGCCAGTCAGTCAACATGAAGTACATGATGCAGCGAGACAGGTTGGAGTTACATACCACTTTGGTATGGCACACGCAATCCGTTTAAGCCTACCATAATGCACTTTGATCCCCTGAGGCCACGGCTCTCTCTCTACACAAAAGCCACCTCTGGACTGCCTCATGGTATACTATACAGCCAACCTCAAGGCCCTAGTATTGAACTGAAACAGAACAGGGATACAAGACTGGGCAACCAAACAGAAGCGAATTGGACTGAAGTGGGAGGGATGAAAAGAAAAACAAGGCAGAGCCTTACACGGTACATGGTCTATGGATGGCTTTCTCTCTTTAAAACCAACTCATTTCATAGCTTCCCTGCTACTGCCAACCAGTAGTGTACCATCCTCCATCCCAAGACAGCCTAGGTTGTGTTTCGAAAAGCAATATGGGTAACTACACTTCCCAAATTCTCAACACTCGGGCATGCTTTTATACACATAATAGTTCAAAACCATTATGGAAGGTGTTAGATAGAGCATTCCATTCTCAAACCAAGGAACTCGAGGAAGGGTTTTACTGTACGTGTGTTGTCCTTTGCTTCACTCAGAATGACGTACGCTCCATTCCATGAAAGGATGGCAATTAAACTGTTCCCTTACATGTATGATGATACACCATGGCGCACAGCCAGCTCCGTGTATTATCGGTTACCTCACTGCTCAATGATTACTCACATTTTGGACAGATCAAGGTCAGACCATTTGCCCGACTCACACGCGATGTAATATCCCTCGGATTAGGGTTTGGTCGCTCTTGATGTTGGCTCAGGAATCCGTTTGGTATGCTTAGATGTGCATCAGAGAGGCGTTCATGTTGTAAACAAAAGATATCAACTGATCTAAAAGGAATAAATCTAGCTAAGTGCTGGAAAAATTGGTCCGCTCCCGAAAATTAATCACATCAGTTCCAGGGCAGTTAGAATTTTTAAAAAGGTTAACAAAAAAAAAAGGTGATGGAATAAACATGACGGAAGACTAAAAAATCAATCATGTATTTTTAAATACAGAAAACTATCTTAGCCTTAAAATAATACCTAAAGTGTTTTTACACAAGTTCTTGACACAGTACAAATGTACACGTAGAAATGAAGCAGAACATGCCTTTCGTCATTTAACAGACATGGACAAATTATTTTAGATTTTTACAAAAATCCTACAGAAATTCTAGAGACAGTGTTCACTCCTGTGAGGCCATGACAATGCAACAAACCTTTAGAAAGGGTCATAGGTCCTATAAACTTTGCATAATTGGTATCCTACGGCGTACCAGCATTTTACCCATCCCGATGGGCTTCTTTGTAGTAAGCTTAAAAATGCAATGAGCGTGTACACATGAACATGTATGCATGCTACTGAATGAACCATACTGCTGTTTGGTGTTCCACAAAGCTCAAAACTGTAAACGGCTGCCATTTTGTCCCAGGCAAATAATTCAAAGGAACATTGAGCTACATGTTCCTCCATGTGATCTTAGTTAAGCAACAGCTGTACAAGAGTCTCATTATACCACAGTGGATATACGCAAGAACACTGAACGATCAGAACTGGCTGTAGCAATGCTGAACAGAAACAGGACTAGAAGCAAGTATACAACTGACATGATGGTGAGGAGTCGAATGATAGTTACTAATGCTGCTTTACGAGACTGGTCTAGTTTACTACATTTTTCAATGCATTTACTTTAGGGCCACATACCAAACGAACGCCCGTCAATTTGAGCCTTGAATTCAACTTCAAATTTAATATGCCATCTGAACCCAGGCTCTTGAATGCTTTGCTTACATTTGTACCGCAGCATCTTTCCGAAAGAGTTGTTCCATACCTGGACATCACTTGACACCATGTGCACAAACCTTGTGAAACTGGTTGGCAATTTTTTTTTCTAAGAAAACTGCTTCACTATTTTCACTGCTGAATTTGATTTTTTGGACATATTATTGTTTTCTGATGGCTGACAGACTACTACATGGAAAAATTAGTGGTGTCTGTACATGGAATTCTTCACAAACTTCAAATTTCAAAGGCAGGCCCATCCCGGGCCAAATATAAGGCTTCATTTCCACCGCAAAACCTAAATATTTTCAACCAGATTACTATTATGTTTCTTTAACTAAAAAATAAAGGAAAGAGTTTCATTAACGGACAATTTTCCTTTAGCCATCAGAAAGTGATAAAATGTCTAAAAAGTGAAATTTTGCTAAGAAAATTCCGAAGCATTTACTTAGAAAACATTTTTTTTTCAGACAAGTCTCATAGGTTTGTGCAAAGGGGCATCAAGTGTTGTCTGCATATGGAACCCTTTCCGAAATAAATATCCCACAGCCTATTGTAAGGCAAATTTACACTTACCATGCTTACACACGTTTACAAAAAATCAGAACGTTGTGAAATATGTGATAAAGTTAACTGACACAAGGTAGGCTAAACCGAAATACTATGAATATGACAGGCATGTTGAACGTACATGTACGTGTACTACAATATTCTGTGAAAAGATTTCCAACATATGGATATCACTTGACATGCTGTGCATAACCCCTGGCAAAGGCTGAGTGTTTTTTAAGTAGTAGGCCTAGGCTTAAATCATGGTCAATGCTGAGTGCTATGGCTAAATTTGCCTTTATGCAAATTTAGGGACATCTTATCACTTTCTAACGGTTTATCTGGTTGATAAAAAAACTTCAAGGGAAAATAAATGATGTACTCAAATGGAATTATTAGTATGTTACCATATTTTGCATTTGAAAACAGGCATAACGTCATAAAAAGCGCATACATGTGGGGCTAAGGCCTTGGCACGCATGGCAATGCTTAGTTTTCAATGCATAGCGCCTACATAGTACATGTCTGCATGTACATGTGCAAAAATGAAAATCTTCATTAACTCAATAGTAAACGCCTACCCCACCTTCGTGTCGGGACATAGTTGAGGTCCAGTGCTGCCTTAAATAGCCGTAATTGCTTTGCCAATCTACACAGGAGTATCTGCAACCATATGAGCGTCCTAGCCTTCACTTCTGAAGAGACAAATTTACAATTTTCGCTATCTTCCGGAAGGGAATTCCATCCTCGATACGGATTTTCATGCAGCGAGTTCAAGGCGATGATGTGACGTCACACTTCTCGCTACATGCGGGATTTCCTGTGATAAGCATCAACTTTATCAAGCTATTCCTCACATAATAAACATTTGGACTATTCATGAAATGTCTTAAATAATCCTAATAAACAAAACTGTTGATGTTCCTTCTCTCTATTTTTCAAAATTTTACATCTTGTTCAACGCTTTTCCCGTGCCACAAAACAGGAGCGAGACTTCACGAAGATGGCGGCCACGAGTGGGAGTCGTGTACTTGTCTACGGAGGAAAGGGGGCCCTGGGCACAGTTATCGTCAACTATTTCAAATCAAAAGGATGGGTGAGAAGAGCTTAGATAGGCGAATTTGAAACAAGTATTGGTCAGGAACGATGTAGGCCCCCTATGTCTAAAACTGCTCTAAAAACGAGCGCCCGCGTTCTCCTCAAGGTGCTCACTTCGTATGTGTAAATGATGTGGAGTGAGGGCGCTATTTAATTTTAACCTTTCTGTTGGAGCTGACCTGATATTAATTATTATGTGTATTTTGTCTAATTTTAGGGAAACAAAGAAAGCAGAAATAAGGCCGGCACAGTGCCGAGCTTCCCATTGCCATAATATTATTACACATGCTGAGGCCTACTGCTGGATATTTGGATTCTGAAGAGTGACAAAGAGGACAAACGTTTTAACCCTTCCCGGTTCCCTAGCCTTCTACGCCATATGGCATATGCCCAGAGTCCCCTAACGTGGTGCGCTTCGACTTGCACTTATCCTTCCTCTCACAGCACTTGCTGGCAAACCTTTTCAATGAAAAACTCAAAACTCACCTGGTTAAGTAGGCCTACTGCTACTAACAAAAAAGTACCAGGCCTATGACCCTTGTGATACATCGTTGTTAACATTTGTGAACAATTCCAGTGTCCTGAAATTTCGGCCGAAATCCAAAACTGTCGGTGTCCAGAAATTGGGCTCGAATTCTGCTGAGTAATCCTTTAATGTGGCGCAGTTGGAAAAAACCTCAGAAAATCCGACATAAACGTTTTCAAAATTCTTCAAAATTGATAAATTCTTGTGAAGCATCATTCCTTCTGCTTACCTACCCATCAACGAGCGTGTCAGAAAATTATTTTCATATTTGTGAGCACATTCTAAAAGCACTCATTTTGCATGTCAGAAAAAATTCGGAAAATTGGATGAAAATAAAATTTCATCAGAACGTTTTAGCAGATACACAAAATTGAGATTTATGAATCAGAATAATAGGAGTGTAATGAAGTTTTACTGATCGTGAAATTTGAGGTAAAAATATTGCTTCGGTAAGACACGGGAGGCGAAAACTGAGAGTGCGCCACATTAGGGGCTGCGCCACATTAGGGGCTGCGCCACATTAGGGGCTGCGTCACATTAGGGGCTGCGTCACATGAGGGGCTGCGTCACATTAAGTTACATCAACTATAGGCCTACGCCCTTTTTGCTAGGAACCCTCCTCAATCCTCCAAAATCCTCCAATTTTGGGGGGTGAAAAAACCAGATTCTCCCTCATTCCTCCAAAATTTCTTGGAAATGGTTCTTGGAAGTGTGCCTACTGAATCCTTCAAAATCCTCTGGCAATTCCTGTTATTGGATTGAGGCACTGCAAATGGCATTCTTGAGCAGTGCAGTTGATTCAAAAGATATATTGAGTTGAATTTATGCATGACTTAGCAAAAAATAACACAAGGTCTGTCCCATGACCTTCATGCATGGCATCTTTCGCAATCAGCCATACACTTCTGCCATTTACCTCAATCCTCCAAAATCTTCCAAAACTGCACGAAAGATTTTGGAGGATTGAAGAGGGTTAGGGTTAATTTCCATTAAAAATGACCTAAACTATTTTATCAGTGTAGGCTTACATGTAACTGTGAGCCTGTGAGTGTGACATTTCTGTTTTCCCATGAAATTTGCTTTTTTTTTCAGAGAAGGGTGGATGGGGATAGGATAACTTCTGTTCTCAGTTTTAAATTACTGTAACCTTTTTTCTCAATTTTACGTCCTCTTTTTGTCTATTTATTAAAATAAATTTTATTCCCTTTTAAAGAAAAATAACACCCATCCTGGCATTTTTATCTTTGTAAGTGGGTGTGCTCTATGGACCTTGTCCCCAATGAGGAAGCCCAGGTGAATCTCGTTGTTGACCCCGCCCAGTCCTGGACTGAACAGGAGGTTTCCATCATGGGCAAGGTGGAAGAGACGCTGTCCGGGGAGAAACTGGATGCAATCCTGTGTGTGGCTGGTGGGTGGGCAGGTGGAAATGCCGCCTCCAAAGGTACGTAGACTATGTAAATAGACCATAGTTGGGTTTGGTTTCATAATGGGACCTTGTTTGTAGGGTAGAAAAAACGTGCAGGACAAAAATCACATGAACTGTTTTTGTGCTTTAGGAGAGTAGCTTCTCTCCCAATGTTATGAGGCAAAAGCAAGTTTCTTAGTATTTCACCAGCTGAGTTCGAGATATGAATTCAGTTCAATTTTCTTCGACATTTTTCTCCTGAGAGTGAAGCCAGGTAATTTCAGTTAGAAGCAAAAGAATAGATTGGTACTTGTCCAACAGGTGGACGAGAAAGCCAGTGGCTTCTGTGATTCTGTTGCTATTTTTGGCCGTAACTTCTGAGCACATCTTCAATCTCAACTGAAAAATCTCCCTTTCCACTTTTCCGACTTGTGTTTTGGCTGTCAATTTGCTCACACACTTCTTATCAATTTTGACTCTTAACTGTACAGCGCTGGTAAAAAACGCCGACCTTATGTGCAAACAGAGTGTCTGGACCTCTGTGATATCGGCTGGACTGGCCGCCAGATATCTCAAGGAGGGGGGCTTGTTGCAGCTGACTGGGGCTAAGGCCGCCCTAGATGGGGGGACACCAGGTAAAGCACCCATCATGCAGGAAGAGCCGAATGTCTCCTCCCTTCTCCTGCCTCCCCCGCCCTGCCTCCCTAAACCACTCCTTACCACATAGCCCCCCCCGAACTTCTTGTAATTTGATTTTCTGAGGATAGATGACATCTTTTCTGAATGATAATCTAATGAGTAGCACAGTCCCCTCACCTTGCCTCTAGATCTCTCCCCCCTCCCCCCCGTGCCCATTAAATAAAGTACACACCCCTAAAGTGGATGTAGGATTATCTGAAGCATGCATTCAAGCTGTTTCACTGCCTGTTTTCTTTCGTGGTGTAATTTATCTGCCGGGAAATCCTTCAACAGAAGGTTTTGATAACAGGTCTTGTGTTTTGTTTTTAGTTTTACACTGCTAACGCAATCATTTAAAGGTAGGTTAACACTGTTTACTGACAAATGTGACTGTAGTGGTCAGCGGAAGTCTTGGTTCCAAAAGGAGTTGTGCTGGTACCCACACAATTATAGCTCAATAAGTATGCGGGTCTATTAAACTGTCTTGTGAAAGCCTGACTTCAACTAATAACTTTCACTTACCAAATACCGAAAGCATAATTAATATTGTTTACAATTTCTTGTAATGAAACCAAGGACTCTTCAAAAGGGCCTTAGGCTCTGTAAATTTGAAAGTCTGTAGAGATGAGACAGAAGACACGATAGTTTTACAGGTGGGAGGAAAACTTTAGAAGGATGTTTTTTGGGGGGGCGTACAACCCACAGAATCAAGTAGGAACCGAAAACCTAATCCACATGTTGGACAAGGCAGGATTTGAACCCTAGTCTAAGAGGAAAATACCCCTGTGCTGGCCCGTCTCTACCCCCCCCCGCCTGACTTGAATTGTTTACGAGTCATCTCAAATGGATCAATGACCTCAGTTTGTTTCGTTTGCACATCGCCAGGAATGATTGCGTACGGGATGGCCAAGGCCACCGTACACCACCTTGTTCGTAGTCTTGGAATGCCCGGGAGCGGGATACCAGCCAACGCCACAGCTTTAGCCATTTGCCCGTAAGAACCTGTTGACTCTCAGAACAATCAGGACCAGTCTTTGTTGTCTGTCACCCCACCCCCCCTTTTTCCCCCATGTTTGTTATGAAGTCAGTAACCTTGTAGTCACACAGGAACCTATTTTAGATGGGTTCATGTACAGAGCAGAATGGACTGGAAAGTGTTACAGAGTTGGTGTCTTTTTCAACAAGATTTGAAGCCAAAAGATCAAGAGTGTGACCTCAATTATTGACAACACTTCCTTTACTCTGTGTTGTTAACTTTTTGAGAGACCCTATCCTTGACCTTTAAAGTGGCCTAAGCACTTTTTTAAAAGGTACTTCCAAAAGTTGACATTTGAACCTTAATCCTGATGGATCAGCAAGTTACAGGGCATTGCAAATGTTGACAGTAAAATTTCTTTGTTGAAGTGATTAACAGTTTGCCTCAGCATTTTTGTTTCGATTTGAATTGGCTCATGCTGGACAACTCTCCCTGATTCCCTCGTCGATTTCTGTATCGTGCTCAAGTCACTTTTGAGGTTGTTCAACTTATTCAGAGTGCTTTTGTGAAACTGTATTTGCAGTGTTACCTTGGACACGCCCATGAATCGCAAGAATATGCCCAGTGCTGATTTTTCGGCTTGGACACCACTGGAATTTGTCGCCTCGTAAGTATTACTGAAGGAACAAACTATCTGCTCTTTGGGGGAAAAAAATTGAAGATTTGATAGGTTGATATAGGCTGAGAATCCTTTCAGCCTGGGGGAGAAGTCAAAGTGGTTTTGAGAACTTCTGTATTCTGGTGATGGTTCCCTGCAGGGTTGCTCTTAAATGTTGGAAAGGTCGTAACACTACAGCCGAATGCATGCGTGGTTGGTTCAATTCTTCAAACATCAGCTGGGTGATGGACAACACCACCACCGTGTTTATTCATACTCTGTCAGCAGTTAATCTTGTGATCCGCAGGATTTTGCATGAAAGCCTTAAGCTTGGCCGAGTTGTGCAAACTTGAGCGTAAAGTGACTTTTCTCCACTCTCAATAGACCTTGCTCAGTTTTCTAAATGTTGTGTGAATACAGCTTAGAAGATTGGTATAACCCTTCTCCCACTGGTGACTGAAAAGAAATTCCTTCATTGTCAGTCCAGTGGTGGTAACACAAACCGATCCCATTCTCTTGCCTTTCGCAGGCTGCTGTTTGACTGGGCGGTGGGGAGCCAGCCGAGACCCACCAGTGGCAGCCTGGTACAGCTCATCACCAAAGAAGGCAAGACGGAACTGGTTACCGTCTAAAAATTGAACCGGATTTACGACTCGTCCGACGTGGGCTGGCAGCAACACCTGCTGAGAGATGGGAACCGAGGTGCATCATGGGAATTTTGTATCATTATTTTACTCATCATTGTTCTGTATTTGTTATTTGTTGATTCTGAAATAACTCAAGCAAGCAGCCTTGACGCTTGATCATGCAAATGATTTTTCTGGCATATTGAAGAATACGTTTAGTGTCCCTGTGAGGTGTTTACAGTTCTGCGCACTCCAAACACTTCACGGTAAAGAAATCTATGCATGAACTGCACAAGACAGGACATAATTTTTGTCAGAGTTTCGTGAAATTCTTGTGTGCGGCATGTAAAAGGCAGTGGTGTTTGTTTCGCATGGTTATTAAAGACCAGAAAGAATGTTTTACTATGACCGGCAGGTTGTGCGAGATTCTTACAAAGAACATAAGTACATTGTACATGTATTCACATTTGTAAGGTGCTTGTTTTCAATTGTTCCTTTTTTTTTCCTCTCCAGTTTTTGAGAAGTGTGGCTTTGTCGCAGAGAGTTATGTTGCGTGGTCAGGCGTAATAGTTCCATGGACAGATTGAAACAAAAATCTGAGGACCCAAAACACTGTGGGGACAATATTGTGTCTCCATGACTTGGTCTTGACTTTCCTAACCACAGAAATGGTCACTTTAACACATCAATGACCATGGCGCTATTTCACGTCAATATACAGATGTTTGCTACCGTAAGGGTTGATTGTAATACTTTTGGTTAATGCATCCCGCCCAGTAATGTTAATAATAAGTGGAACAGTGGCTCATCTTTGACCGTATCATTAAGGACAGCATATCCGGCTCGTAAATTGATGTTCCTGTTTATTAGCGAGATCGTGTGGACGGTACCAAGTGATGGGTGGTACCATCGTGTCAGCCAGCATATATATGCTGGCGGTTAACTTTCAGTGTAAAATCTAACTGATGCCCATTACATCCGGCCAGCATTCGTTCCGTGCACAAGCACGCAAGCACAGTTAATGGATTCCTGGTGTTTTCAGTGTCAGTCTGCCTTCTCTCATTTTTAATTCAGTCTTGCCTTTTCTCGTGTTTAAATCTTTGTTTTTGGGGGGGTTTCCTGTAAACCTTGTTGGTAAGGGGTGTGAAGTGGTATCCATGCAAGAGTTCTATCATAAAAAGCCTACTGAATATCAGGCATGGATATTGAAAACATTTAAAATGATTGTGGGTTTGTTTTTTTTTCTTTTTTTTTCTTTTCTTGCTTTAAATAGTTGTAATAGTTGAGTGATACCTTCACATTTTTGGTTGTTGGCTTACGAGATTTGTCCTTAAAATGTCTTCGTCGGATGGAGAAGTACGATAACTTGGAGACAAAAGCTGTGAATTCCCCCCCCCAAATGGTGAATTCAGCCAATGTATTTTTACTTCTACAAGTTCAAAGCCAAGGCTGGGGTGCACACCATAGAACGAGTTAGCATTGTAAGCTGGCCCTGGGACGGCTGTGTCCAACTCTGGAATGAATAATGCAAAACTGTATTCAACGTAAGCTTTCCTGCTATTTTTGTCTCAGGCAGCAGAGGTCGTTGAACAGCAATGAAAAAAATTTAAGATACATCAGATTGAAGCAATATCTACATTTTTTTTTCCAGGTATGTTTTTCGACATCATAAACAGTGAACAAATAAATGCTGATGATCTATTGTGATCGTATCCTAGAACTGTCTGACACAGAAAATTATTTGATTTTTACAGCCTTTGTTTTTTATTCACAAAAAAAGGGACTTCATACAAATTATTTTTGTGAGCACAGAATGTGACTTGTACATGTCTCATCATGCACATATATCATCCAACAAAAGCACATGTTGCATGTAAATCTAACAACTAATTCTCCACCGTCACGTTAGTTTCAAATAGACAGCTTAACTCGAGTCAAATTTATAAAACTTGGCATGTGGCAGCAACTTGTTCAAAAATCCTCCAACAGACAAGGGGTAACTTGAAACCCCCTCCCAACATTACCATGGTAACTAGGAATGAGAATCCATTAACAAAGATGACAATCAATTTTGTTGTTTTGTGCATGATCCATTGGGAATTTTACGACAGCAAACAGGATGAGTTGCTCATAAAAGGGCAGCTGACATGTTGGTTTAAAAAAAGAAAATGTACCATTGAAACAAATTCCAACATAAAAATGGCCAAGATTGGCAAACGAACATTGACACAAGATTTTACCACGACAGGTCCTTAACAATGACTTCAGAAATATAACAATCATACTGAACACAAGCAGAGTGTATAAATTTGTGTGCTCGCTTCTTGCGAAAAAAATGCCCTAATTTCTATGGAAGCTGTCATTTTTTTGGCTTTTCATGTGAATTTCAGTACACCACTGGAGCCATGTGTGGCAGGTGAGTTTCAGAAGAGGCAGCGTGGATTGCTCTGAAATGATGCTTAACTTAAATATCAGTTGATGTCTTCAATAATAAACTTGGAACTCGTGGGATAAGCTCTTGGAAGTTGTGTATAACTGTCATTTTCTGCTTTTACTAAAATTTGAATGCCTCGTGTTCAGTTCAAACGAATACACGTGCTATACTATAACCGGCACCGCGTGTTTATACGCGTGGCTGGGGTCTCTGAAATCGGACAAAGGGAACTGGGTCTTGTAACTACAGACCGTACTATGAACAAAAGACCAGGCTGCTGGGCATTACCAACATTTTTTCACTCTCAATAGTGGAGATAATCCAGCCTTGTTTTGAAACAGTATACCACGGTCTAGGGCATTTAGTGCGAGCGGATTACCACCGGGGACAAAAGCGCTCCAAGGCAGTGACGAGCCACACTGCACCGCTAATCTGGCACGCTAATCACACTAATCTGGCCCCTATTGAAAAGAGGTAAGCAAGGCACTGTGCCAGGTTCATGAACAAAAGAAAGTTACATAACACTGCACAATCTGGGCTCTTTTTACAAGGCTGCAGGCCTGGCTGAAATACTCGGGCATCAATAGATTTTGTCTGTCAGACTAGAGTGGCCACCAGACAGTAATTCATGTGGGTGTAAACGTCCATTAATTGAAATGATGAATTTTTGAAGAATTTTGAAAACTGAAAATCTTGAAGAAGATTTTTCAAACCATCCGGCAGCAAGTGGTTCAAAATGTGCCGGCAAAACATTAACACTCCTGAAAAGCAAATAAACCATAATTCCATGGATGATGAAAACAACCCAAAAGAATTACATGTATATAAAACAACTACAGGTAAACGGTAAACAGGTAATGCAAAAATACTGTAATGCAGTGAACATGTCTGGCCCAGTGAGTGATTTTGGAATTTACAGAATTAGGCTGAAATTCACAATTAAAGAGAGTAAGTTAAAAAGAAGTGTCACATTTTAACAATGAACACTAGATTGAATTCTCCATCATAAATAATTTCTATGATTTGTTGAGTGTTACTTGGTAACGGTTCAGACCTACCAAATACATGTATAACTCTACAAGAACATGTCCAATATCATGAGTCATGAATACCATCAAAACAGCACAGGATAAAATGCTTGGTACCAGTTCAGACCTACCAAATATAACTCTACAAGTACATGTCCAATATCATGAGTCATGAATACCATCAAAACAGCACTGGAAAACTGCTTGGTACCATTTCAGACCTACAAAATATAACTCTACAAGAACATGTCCAATATCATGAGTCATGAATACCATCAAAACAGCACTGGAAAAACTGCTTGGTACCAGTTCAGACCTACAAAATATAACTCTACAAGAACATGTCCAATATCATGAGTCATGAATACCATCAAAACAGCGCTGGAAAAACTGCTCTTAACTACAATATACAATCACAATCTTCCCTTTGGAAGATGCAATCAAATTACACTTGAAATTTTGTGCCATTCTTTGAATTAAAAACAGCCTGCTTTTTTCTCTTTCTTTCACACATAAAAATCACTATTTTCTATAAATTACATACAAATCAGTACAACTAGTACACCAAACATTATAATCAACTGAGCATCACAGTTTTGTTACAATGAATACAATTAAATATACAAAAGTGCCTAATCTTACATGTATACAGTAATAAAAATGTCTACCAATGTCAAAAAGTTGCCCAAATTTAACTGATGACATGTGCCATGATTTAAGTCTTGATCTGATTACTTTCACGATCGATGATTGAATTTGAATACACAAACTGTGAGTCAATACACATGAATGACACAAATAACATTACAGCATGACACAAACACTCCCCACCTTCCAACCCAAAAGCCCCACCCTATGAGCCCACACAGACCATATTGTGTAATGTTTTGAATGCTTATCCGAGGCAATGGTTCACACTTTTACATGGATCATTAAAGATTCACCATACAACGGCATTCTCAATTAGGAAGTATATATTCATGCAGGTACCAGGATAATTTACGTCCACTTTTTCCATCCAGGCATTTGAAATCGTCGTTAATATTGATTGGATGTACATGTATAATTCAACTCATGCTGCGATGATCTGTGCTTTCGTTTGGGTAAAAGTTACACACAAGTGGCTCATTAACCCTGGCAATCTCTAACCAGTCAAACTTCAACACCAGTAAGGTGTTTGAATTAGTGGAATTAGGTACTGGGAATTTTGACTGTTGAATTTTGACTGAATGGGTACTGAGGCCCTCTCACTTTTTACCATCAGGAATTTCAAATGAGTACTGTAGTTTTAAAGATTACATAATGATAGAAAGCTTCCCATTGAAATGGTAGGTATGATATTATGTAATAAATACCATAACAAGGACAATCTTCCTTGTTTCTGACCGCAATGATCCCAGCAGTTGGGGATGGATATGCAGCATGATGGTGTGTGAGTTTGTTTGAATAGGTACTGCCTGTCCATACTCTTTGTACTGTGCAGTGGGCCTGCTGTATCCAATCAAACAAAATGACATAGGTAAAGATCTGTTGGAATTTGTGGGATTAGGTACTATTGCAACAGGAGTACTGTTGGACTCTGTGGGATTGGGTACTGTTTTAGCAAGAGTACTGTTGGACTCTGTGTGATTGGGTACTGTAAGGTAGGAGTTTGATTTCAAAGTGTTGGAGTTTGTGTGATTAGGGAAGGATACCACCAACAGTCCTAGGGCAGTTAGGGTTAATTTCCCCTTTTTTCGGAGAGCCACTTGCTGACCTCATTGATGAACCTTAGTCACAGCATGCTGACATTTCTCACAAAATCTCTCTAGGGTGTTGAGTTGAAGCACGGCCATGCTAGTATCTCTCCACATCAGAAGCGTTGTGAAACCAAAACGGAACAAATGTTGTTTAATAAGCATTACTGTAATACTGTCAATGTAATGACAACACAATGGAATTTTCGATCAATACATGTCCATGTATAAACATTTGAAGTTGACAGAATCAATATTAGTTCCCACTATCGCTCTACAAAGACTGTTCTGGCCCCCAATTTGAGGTCAACTACTTGCTTGACCTTTTCCCCGAACCCTCGGGTCAAGTCCTTTTTACCAGCTTTGAATATCCCTAGTTACCCTGGTTTCAATTTGTGTTGCTGGTTTCAAATTTCAGGGGACTATCAGATCATTTAAAAAAAATTATCTCTGGCAATTGTTTTGGATGAAAACATTTGCATACACAAATATATCTTGTGCTGTCAACTGTCATGAGGTGTAAATACACACAATAAACAGAAAACATCTGATGCAATTAAAACTTTGACAAATATATGAATGGCTATTTACAATGTCCAATAAAAGCACTGCATTATGTACAAGTGGTCAAGCAGTCTGCAGCTCAACTCTTACAGAAAATGATAATTTAAATACTAGAAATGGCAGATGCAAGTCTTTGAAAAAGTCAAGGCTTTGTGTGGAATAAGATAAACAAATGAAAGAAAAGAAACAAATGAAAGAAAAGAAAAAATTTCTTGGCAATCTGTCACTTCTGACAAAAAGAAGTATCCCTGAAGAACATTAAATAAGTCAACTAAAAACAACTAGGGGGAGGAAAAACAGAAAACAAAATCAAGTAAAAATTAGTCCTTTGTTCCACTTTATAAGTAGGGGCAGTAATATGACCATCGAGGCCAGATTCAGGGTGGGAAAATTCCCAAGACTAGTCATGACTGACAATGCATTGCTTTCCAAAACGTTCTATCCCAAGTGATACAAACTATCGAGTGAATGTCTTGAACTTTCGCTATGAACGTGGTTACCCTGTTTCGTCTACATTAACCGAGGCACAGAAAAAAAATTACAACTGAACATGTGAGAAACTATTTCAATGGGCAGCATCGTTTGAAACCTTTTTAGTTATGCTGGCTAGGTTTCTCTAGCCATGCCAGACTGTTTTTCTAATAAAGGTCTTTTGTACTGATTCAAATAATGAGCGTTCCCATGGCTACTGAAGCAATGCAACACGGACTGTTCTATGAAGGACTGAAGGACTATGCACAGATATACAGTGCATATTACAAGCAGTAAAAAAAAAATTTATGAAAGATTTGTTTAAAGCTCCTATGCTGTTGCGCTATACGCTTGTTTCTCGCTTATCTGAGCCGTCCTGGTCACTATGATCGGCTTGGCTGAGTGAGTCCATTTCTACTGCCGCTCCGTCCATCGCCGACTCTTCGACATCTTTGGCTTCGAGTGGTTGCTTCGCAACCTGATCGTCCATTGGGGTGGCCCTGGTCGCTTCATCATAGGTTGGTGGCTCCGACGTAGAGGGGTGGTTTTCCAGCAAGGGCACCTCCTCCCTGGGGAGGGATTTGTCATCTGCACCTTTGGCAATCTTGTTCTTGCCTGAGGACCGCCGCGAGTCCTCACGCGAGGCGCGACGCCTGAGCGCCGCCCCCTCCTGGCGGTCCAAGGGCGTGATGTGGGGAACGGCAGGGTGAGGTTGGGTGTCGGCAGCAGAGGGGACATTCTTGCCGATGCTGTTGTTGCTACTGTGAGCCGCTAGTACGGGCATACCCTGAGGGGGAAGGTTGGGTAGCTCCACTGCTCTCACCATGGGCCACTGGGGTCTCATTGGCTGGGTGGTCACAGGCCCAGCAGGTGCGCTCTGCATGCTGGTCCCACTGAGGGTGCTGGGTTGGAGTCCACAGCTCCCCTCATGCTCGCCGGTAACATTCCCCATGACAACTGGGGGCACCCGTGCCATCACCGAGCCACTAGAAACGCTATCGGCATAGCAAGTAGGTTGCACAACACTGCATACCTCTGGTGTTGCCCCTGCATCTGACGTGTCCCTCGTGATCTGTGAGTAGCGTGAGTGCTTGTACCCCTTGGGCCGGTTCCGACCTTTGTGGTGGTACCTGTGGGCATACCCATTCCCCCGGGCTTTCTCGTACATGTGCGGCCGGGCCACAGTGTCTTGGGTGCTGCTGTCAATGGAGGCGTCTGTGCCCGTGTTGGTATGCGAGGGCACGTAGTTGCACTTCGAGGCCTTACGTGAGCCTGACTTTAGCGAGTGGTTGGACTGATTGGTGTTGGCTGAGCGATTGGTCACATTGGAGTCCACGCTGCTGGCCGACTGGCAACGCTGGACCACGTGGCCGTTCCCTGGCGGTATGACCTGCGACCCCACCTGCGAGCCTGGGTGCGAGCCAGACAGTGCCACAGCGTACGCGTTCCGTGACTTGGTGCAGCCGCACGTCCGCCGCCAGTTGTACATGACGTCGCCGCGCAGGATGCAGTTGTACATGAAGATGAACAGACCCAGCAAGGCGATGGCGGCGCCGTACAGGTAGCTGAATAGCATGGCGAGGAAGGGAGTCTGTGTGACAGCCATCGCCGCCAGGGTCCAGGTGATCAGGAAACCAAGCAGGAGGATGACTGATGCTTTGAGCTGCCTCGCATAGGTGTACTCCCCATCCAGGATGCTGGAGACGGTGGACAACGCCGTCCGATGCGTCACCACCGACTCACTGTCAATGTTAGTGTGCGGGTCCAGGTCTGTGCTCGGCTGGCTGGCCTTGGACTCTTCAGGGGGCTTCCAGCCCAGGCGCACAGCGACGGCCACAAACATGATGAACGTGATCAGCACAAAGAAACCAGCCACTCCAAAGCAAGCGGCCAAGCTGATACTGAAGTCCATCCAGCAGCTGCGACAATAAAGACAAAGTGTAACACAGTCAGCTTAGCTCAAACTTTGCTGAAATCAATTTTCTAAAGAGCAGCTATATAAAACTGGGTTCCAGAACACATCAGGCCTCTTTTAAAGGCTGCATAGTCCAAAACAAGTCAGGACAACGTTTTAATGCCAGTCGAGTTTACTTTGGCTCAGGTAGCATACTTTTCAAGAAGTCAATCTCACAGTCACTCACATTTGTTCCCCGCCATAGTTGCCGATATTTGCTGCTGCAGTAATGCCTACAACTATCATGGGAATGCCTGCAAGATAGGAACATCCAGAAACATGAGTCAAGATGACATCTCCAATTCAGGCATATTTAAAAAAAAAACACCTTTAACCACTTCCTGCCGGTGGGAATTTGCATGTGCGGGATGAGTTCCCGGGGGGTTTTCAAGAATTTCTGTTTTCAAAATACCCGCGTCAGCATTCACAATTCTCCCGCTGACTCGAATTTGATTATTCAGAGATTCCGGCATATAGGAGCTCCACACAAAGCTCGTCTGCACGCCTATGCCTGGAGTCCAAACGATGACTCAGTGCATTTTTCTCAACAAAAGCCACAAGCTGAGGTCCTATGTGAAACAGAATTAAAACGGTGAGGCTGAACACAGGGCATGAGCCAGACAATTGAACGATAAAGGCAGGAGTGAAGCCCCGTTCAATATCACAGGACCACTAGTTTACAAAGACAGTTGTACCTTCACCTTTATTCACCTTTATAGTCACAAGCCTGCCATTTTGAATCTAAAGCGGGGCTAAGACAGAAGAAGTTAAAATGCAGCAATGAGGTAAATTACAGGGCAGCCTAACTGTGCTCTGATGAATAATTCTAAATCATGCATAAGATCAGTCTTTTTAAACTTCCTGTCCAAACTATGAGATAGGTTTCTGAAAGCCATACCCTGAAATCAGTAAAAGTAAAAGGTGTAGAATATATAAAACAGGTTCAACAAGCATGGCCTGCAATGGCTATAGCAATGAGCATCGCCAAAACCCTCCAGGTATTGGATAAAGATGCCTTTGGCATGGGTAGGTATAAAAACTAATATGGAGATTTTGAGAGGAGACTGCGCTTGTAACATGGGCATTTTGAAGAAATGTTGGTGCGATCCCATGCTTTTGACTCTCACCCCATCCCATGAAGTAGAAGCGGAGGATTGGCCTGGGAGGTGGGGGTGCCTCGCCGGGGGGCAGCACCCGCTCCTTGCGGGTCAACCCCTTGAGCAGGTTCCGGGCCCCGATGCCGATCCACAGCAGGCAGCACAGGCTGAAGTAGTGGATGCCCAGCCCCACCACCCGGCAGAGGAGCAGCGGCTCAGTCCTGTTGACGCCGCCGGCAAAGAACATGACCAGGTTGAGGAAGCCGAAGCACATATTCATGAGGGAGTGGCGGCACTTCCGCTTCAGTCGGATGTTGCTGTTGATGACAACGGTTGAAAGGTACTGGTGATGGATTCTTTTCCTGGATGCGCTTTCCGCAGAACTTCACACCCTTCTTCAACGACTGAAAACTATCCGATACCCTTTTCTGATTGAAAGCATTGAACAGTGCAATTTTTTGAACGTCTGAAACTGTCCTGTGCTTTTCTGAACAACTGAGGGCACTGTTGCTGTGGTACAGGTGTCAATCGGGAGAGATACTATTCAGTGTATGGGGGATTCCTATCATACGTGCCTTTGCAAGTGAGCTCCAGGTTTTTGACATAAAAAAAAAATCAGATTTACATTTTGCTTGCGCTATTGTTGGCTTAATGAAGGCGGCACTCCGGTTGCGGGCAACTTTGGATCCTACCTGTTGAAGCAGATGTAGCTGACCATGGTCCAGAAGACGAAGACCACAAAGATCAGACTGCCTACGTAGATGGCTGGATGCAGGAGATCGATGCTACGTACCTTACTTACCCCGCCGGAGGATGTGGTATCCTGACGGGGAAAGGACAGGAAGGGAAAAAAAGATCTCTCAATCAGAAAATCAAAATCACGAGCCAGGGATTAAAATAAAACGGGGAGGGATCGAGGCGAAAGGAGGGCCTTGTAATCTGGTGACGCGAGCTGAGAGGAAAAGTTATGTGACTGACTTTCAATGGTTTATGATGGCTTGATAACAAATTAATCTGGAAAGAAAGCTCTAGATATGCAAGCTGCACCTTTGAAATGCCTGTTGCCGACATCTGACTTACTGGTTGTGAGCATCGACCAGCAGGGAACCAGTGACAAACTACACTTCACAGTTACCACTTTTGAGCTACGGAAAGTCAGCTGTCCTCATCAAGCCACGCTTTTCCTACCTCAATTAGGGGGTTCCATTCCTGCTTTAATACACACCCCGATCCTCCTCCAACCCCCCCCCATATTCTTGCGCCAAATGTTCTCACCATGAGCAGGGCAAAATTGGTGAGATGGTTGCAGTGCACCGTGGTCAGGTTGCCAGTCTGCCTGATGATGGTACAGCCACGACTCATCCAAGCGCCCTCTGGATCTGCAAATGGTGAATGTCAGACACGAAATGACCGGTGATGACAACACTTTAAAGGAACCCCCCCCAACAATTTTTTCTTCTGAGATCACCTGCACCACAATACAGTTTTTTTTTCCTCCTTGATGAGCCTTCGGGAGTTTTCCGTGTCCTGTTATTATTTTTGACACCAATGTCATTAAAAATCTGGAACTTTTATCCCAAACTGCCAAACCCACTCTTTGGGTTTTCCCTCCAGTCATAGCCTGCATGTTGCTCTCAAGCAGAACGAGTTTCAGAATACACAAATAAGGACAACATGTGACCAATTTCAGGAAAAGGCTGCTACTGTTATGTTTAAGTCCTTTTACTGCATGTGTGACCAATGCCGTTCAACTCCCACCAATCTCCGCCCAGATCACGAACAAAGCCAAGAGTGATGATATAAGCATACACAGACCAACTTCATCCAGCAATGCAAAGTCGGTCAAGCGCTATCAAGGACAGCCGGGGGAAAAAAAAGACAACTCACAAGTGGTATAATCCCAGTATCCAGGGACCTGGTCGCGACCCCCAGCTGGTGTTCTGAAGTTGAGGATGACTGGGCTGGTGATATTGCGAACACTGGAACCGGCTGTCAGGTGGGAAGAAATCAAACAACAATAAAGCGATTCGAAATGAAAATTCTTGGGATTCCGTTTATTTATACACAGCACTGGTGTAATTTATTGAAATGCTTTGAAATTTTTTTTGGGGGGGGGAACTCATACCTTTGCTTTGGTTTTGATACTTGGGAGTTTCTTTCATTGACCAAACCTGATCTAAAGCTTTTAGCTTTTTGCTCTTTCTTGTACTTATAACATTTGGACATTTAACCCTCCCTGTAATTTTGCATCTTTCAATATTACTGAAAAGCCAACTTTGGAGTAGGTAGGGTTCATTGGTTTAAAAATGTCAAATGCATGCCCAAAACTCCAATGCCATATTTAAGCCTCGCACAATGGATCAAGAGTTCCTCATATAGTTCAAAATTATCCACTATGAAAAATGCTGAAGACAAAGTTTTAAAGAGGCGCGTGTCCATAATGGCTCTGTCTAAAGTCTGCCTGAAATGTGGAAAGCATACTCAACTTCTCCAACTCTCCAAAACATTTGAAATTTCAAACTACAGGGCAAAATAAACCAGCCATTTCATCCCCCTGGCAAACTCTGCGAGGCCCACCATTTCCAACATTCCTCCTTGCAAGGGGTTGTCCCCTCTCCTTTGACACTCACCGATCTTGCTGGATATGACTTGGCCGGCAACCTGCCTCCTTCCTCGGTCCTCTGCCGTGTTCGAGGAGTTGGTGACAGAGGGGAAGAGCTGGCTGTTCTTGTAGATGAAAAACTGCAGCTGAAAGTTATCCTCTGTCACCTTGGCAACCACTGAACTCGGGAGCTGGATGGACGCTTCCACAACCTATTTGTAGAGAAGCATTCCGTGTCTGAAAAACTCAAACCTATCTTGATTTACAGCAAGGAACAATTCCGAAAAATATGCTACCAGAGAAGAAAATCTATTCTCGCAAAGCAAAGACATTGGAATGTTCAGATTTATTTACTGCCAAAGGAATAAAGACTCAGCATCATCAGTTTGATAAAGAAACTGAGTCTTTGTGTTGACAGCTTTTGTACCGGGGTAAGTGAGCCTCAGTATTAGCTGTGAAAATTGTTTTAAATCTCAGTCCAACAAGACTGAGGATGTTTTTTCAATCTTTTGAATTTGTTGGTAGGGGGAGAATTGTTTTTTGAATAATGGTGTTTAAGAATTCTTAAACCCTAACCCCCTAGGATGCAAGTAAAAACCTACTGAAATTGGAGGATTGAGGACTATAAGGATTAATGCATTTGGGCCTCTGGTGCCACATGTGATCAAAATGAAGTTTGAAGAATGGATGATTAACAATAATGCATTGAGTTCATGGTGAAGTTTACAATTTGTCTTTGAGGCAATATCTGACGATGCAATGTACTGTGAATCATTCACATGGACTAGTTTAATAGTTCTGAGCCAAACTAACACTTCAAGCAAACCTGAAACTGAAGCAAGTTCATTAGCCCTCGGCGTCCAAATACCTACACAATGTCTAATACATTAAGCCGTTCAAAAATTCAGAGCGACTGAAAGCAATCCGAAACCTACTGGTACAGCCTGTTCAAATTGTCACCAGTAACGAACACAATTTATTGGATATTGGAACACTCTCCAAAAGCCTCAAAACAGGTTTTGATTTTCCAACAGTTTTATATGAACATCCTCCAAGAGCACAAAAACCCAATTTGAATTTTTTTTTTCATTTTTCGTCATAAAAAGAGCAACACTCTAGTTTCAAGCCCTCAACGGCAAAGCAGAGAATCTCTGTGTAGAGAATCTTACTCTATTTCTTAAAAAAAAAAAAAATGAAATCATACGTCTGAAAAACCAATCTTGCACGATCCCATTAAAGCCAGCCATTCGTCCAGCAGAATGTATCCATTCCTTCCAGCACCTGTGCTTCGCCCATGCACCTTGCGTACATCCGAAAAGGGCAGCGCATTTTTTTTTTTTTAACTGGCTGGCTGTCTGGTCGTTGTTGCCCGTGACAAATCAGGCAGCAGACTCCAAGCAGGTTAGTTATGCCATCCCATTAGATGAGTCACGAGCAACCGCCTCCGGATAATCAGGTTATCCCTGTTCCTTTTTTGGTCGAGGAAAGGGGGGGGGAGGAAAAAGATGGAACGGGCTGCCCACGACTCGAGGCTGATGGCCTACAAAATAAACAACTCCAATTGAATTTGGTAATATCAATACTTACCTCCTCTTCCCAAAAAAACCTGTCTTATCCCCAAATCACGCCGCATTCTTTAAACCTGACAGAATGCACGGGGGGGAGGATAGTTGACAATCATCCGAACGGTGCACATACAATTGCCAAAATCCAAAGACCTGACTTAGCTTATTGGATAAAACCTTCAGCTTCGTTCATCCAACCCTTATTCAATATTATAAGTAATCCACAGCCGTACACTTTCTGCACAAAAACTGTTGAGAATCGGTCACCAGTACCTGAAAAATAATTACTTTTGATCCTTCCTTTTCTAGTCAATACTCTGGTAGCTTCCCTTAACGTGAAGTCAGTTAAAACAATTTTTTCATGTGTTTGAAAATTTGTCAGAATGAATTATTTTGCTTGACCAAAGTAATCGCACCTTGTTTGTTTCCAAGTTTTCCTTACTTCAGATCAAAATCATTTCCAAATCTGGGAAAAAGAACAACTTCAAGGAACAAAGTAATTACATGTACTTCTAGTTCTTCACCAGACAACATCAAACCCGAATTTTTTACATCAATGAGAAATATCTGAACATTTTCAAGTGATCAGATTATTGCCAGTAATGACGAGATAACATGGGTTATGAAACAGCCTATCCCTAGCAGTCCCAAATCCTCTGATTTCAACATGATTTTACATACACCCTTGGGGATTAGGGTTAATAGTGATGGCAACTTGCCCATTCTTGCAAAACAAAGGTCTTTAATTTACCCCCTTGGATCGTGTCATCTGGGTGCTGGTTGCGTCGGTGTCGCCCATGAAGCACCTGAAATCCTGCAGACCTGTCTCCTGGTCCAACGGAGCATTGGCAGGCAGCGGGGATGTCCTGAACGAGGCACAGGCCATGCCAGTGAACGTGTCGGTGTCCAAGTTGAAGACCTCCATAGCAATGTTGGCTGCCTTGTGGTTGAAGACCTGGCCAGAGGACCGGGGGACCTCTTGAGCAAACTTCTCCAGGGACTGTACGATCCTGCGATAAAACAAAGGGACATTATTACCAATTTCATGTTTTATCCCAACAATAAAGGTTTGGCAATCCACGCACAAAAATACATGCAACGCACACTCGACCTTTCCCAGGATCTTCCGAGACCAAAAAAAAAAAAAAAATCACAAGCATCCTCAGCTGGGACTAGCACCCACAAATGACATGGATTTCTGTTCAACAACATCTGCTTCCAAATTAAAGACTGTAATGTCAACCTCGTCTCCTATCCATTCAAATCTGGCAACTTGAAGGAGAATGGTGCAGAAGCACAGATAAAAATACCAAACACAAGTACAAAACGACCAACATGATACAAGTACACCGTAAAGATCACGGGAGGGGAGGGATGCCCCTCCCCTCTCTCCCTCTCCTCCCCCAGAAAAAGGAGGAGGGAAAAAGATAAGAAAAAGAGCAAGAAAAGAGGAAAGCTGGATTCGACAAAACTGCCTCAGAATAAGCTGTTTGCAAGTTAAATTTGAATAAAATTTGGTACACTGAGTTATCTGATTGCACATAAATGCAACAATTTGAATTCCCCAGACTAAAGACACTGTTGCTATACCTCGTGATTTGAGGCAAGCTTTTGCTTAGCGGCCACCATCTCTGGAATGGATTGGTTCCTTTGTGCCTTTCTTATCCATTGAGGACAGTGTATTGGTGCAAGGTGTCTCTTATGTAACTAAGCAAAAGCTTGCCCCGAATCATGTGGTATAGCAACAGTGGTTCTAGTATGGAGAATTCAAATTGTTATGCTCCCATGAAGTTAAAGAACTCAGTGTACCAGATTTTATTCAAATTGAACTCGCAAAAGGCTTATTGGCTTCCCTCCACTGCTGATGGTTTGTCAGTCTGGTAACTGCTGAGTGCTTTACCCCTCTCCCTCCCTCCTTCTACCCCCTCCCCCTCGGGAGAGCCACACCCATGATCAGTGTCCCTCCTACTTACTTGCTGCAGGCCTGATTGTAGGCTTGGCTCTGCTTCAAGATCTCCGGTCTCACCTCCATCACGTTGCTGGCAATGTTGATCATCACCTCACCCAACTGCAAGGGAAAAAAGGCCAAAAGGGGAGGAAACCCCCCCCCCCAAATTATACACTCATCGGAGGTCATAAACAATGTATCAGGCTGAAAAAGAAAACCAAAAGTGGGAAGGTGATATGTCAGAATCTTGTTTACGCAGGGTGTTCGGAATTGGTTTGAAGGATGAGCTGTCAAGACCACAAGGAACGTGATTCTAAAACAATGATTGTTGCTCAAGATTGTTTATTAGGAGAGACAAGGTACTCATGACTACGAGGTGAACAAAAACCATCAACAAAGGAGTTAATGCTTTCATTATTCATGGTCTGTCCTCGAATAAAAAATACACAATCAAACTAATTAGAAATGGGAATCAGAAAGAAACTGAGGAAACAGTCCACCATTTGGGCCCTGGAATCTTACATTCAATTTTGAGAGAGAAAGCCTCTTCCCATGTGAAAAGAAAAAAGGTTACACATATAGATGCATTTTGAAAGGGCCATCAGTTTCTGGCATGCTTTTATTCACATAATGATCAACCCTTCTTATGTTTGGTCTTCATTTGGTAGGATCTCATGACTTGAATCACTGTTTGGTCATGCCTAATATTAATTTATTTGCCAATTAGAAGCAACACAAAATATATAAAGAAGTCAGTGTGAATGACTGCATATCTGGCACCCAAACCCACAAAATATAGGGATGAATTCACATTTCCTGGCAGATGTAACAAATAAATCAAGCGGGTAAGCAAAGACGAACTGAAGAATTTCAAATAATAAAAAAGGCGAAGAATTCTGACGCTCGCAAGTTCAAGAGGGCCCAGCAAATTGAGTAGTGAGGAGTGAGTGATAAATGAAGGACTTGACGGGTCACCTAAACAAGGGAGGAATTTGCCGACGGGGGCTGTTGTAAAGACACATATGTATTCTCCTGTGCCCACAACTGGTACTTGGCGCCCGGCCCAGTATCATCAGTTACAATGCATATTACATACATGCACATGTACATAATAAATGCACTGACAGGTAAAGCAAACCCCCACTCAGGTGTGGATTTCAGTGTCTGGTTTTGAAACTGTAAATTTGTTGCTATTTTTATCAGGATAGCTCAATAACAGCACTCCTAATCATTTTCAATGTAATTTCACTGAGAAAGGGCTTGCCAACGCAAGTTAAATTTTACACAATAGTTCTTACATGTACATGTATATCTTAAAGTTGGCAGTCTTGTTAAAGAACAACCATTTGAAATGAGAAGGAGGTTGAAAAGGGAAATCAGACTTCATTTCAGGGAAGTTGGGATCTTGTACTACAAATGACACTTTATCAATGTGGATTCAGGCCAATAGCCATCCCATCAAACTGTCTCTGTAAAAAAGGTTTGTCATTCATTGCTGAAGTCACTCTAAAAGGCACATCGGTTCCAGAATATCTTATTACTACAACTTAAGAAATAATAATAAACCCTAATACACACGCTATTAAAAATTGTACAATTTAAATTTTTTTTAGTAACGAAAACAGCAAAATCTAGTTTTTAAAATTTCTTTCAATGAATTGACTTGTTTGAAATCTTAAAAAATGCAGTTGAGCTCCTTTCACACTGTAATGGTGCACTCAGACAGGACTTGACAATATATTTTTTCACATTAAAGTCATTATTACCACCTACTTTTTCCAGTATGCTTCTGTGCATAATGAAAATGCAAATGCGACAGATTTATTTTGGAATGATGGAACCGGCATTTTTCATTGAAATTACTTAATTAAAAACACAAAACACATTAGAAAATAATTTAAATGTCAAGATCCTATGAATTAATGGGAATGTTTTTACAGGATCATCCGCAAAATTTTTCGCTCGCGGTTGCCTTTGAAAACTCTCAGAACAAAAAACTGAGTGTCAACAATCCTGATAAAAAGTGAAAGCAAAATTGATCACACTGTGAAATATTCCAATTTTGTAGTATTTACATGCCATCCAATAGAAACTCTGCATCACACTGGCATGCCCAGAGAGCCACACAATACTTCCTGCCTGTGTTTGGACAGCAAGATGTTGGCTGTTGAGACCGTCCCTGCCTGATACAGAGGCCTTGAACCGACACATCAAGGCAAGGTGCAGTGGGGCAAAGGGGAGGTCAGTGTCCTCGCATGATCCTGGAGACAGTTCTAAGCAATTGAGGGAGAAGGCAATGCTCCCTGAGGGGCGGGACTTGTCACAGCCCCCCTTAATCATGTGGTCAAGGCAATCAAGGTTGGGCGGTTCACATGCAATCAATTTTCTTTTGCCAGGGAGGAAAAAAATCAAGGGAAATTCTACCACATGGGCATACACCTAAAATGTCAGAGCGGTGCTGCTCAAACATGCCATCGGATTTCCACAAGCTAACTAGTAGGCCCCCTATACTATGAATACATATGTACTGTATATGTATATTTGCATAAACTACAATGTACATGTACAGATTATGTACATGGAATCTCGCTCTTCATTCAATTTGGCCTTTTGATGCATGGATTCTTAAATATTACCGTGAGTGTGCATAAGTGGCGCTCACTGCGACTGTCAAAGACGACAGAATTTGAGGATGTTACTTGCAGCAAAAAAAAAATTTTGGCTCTATTCATGCAAGTCTGCAAAATGCACTGAAATGTGAAATAAAATGCTAATATTTGTCTGTAATCAATGCCACGATTGGCAGAACAGTGGTGGTAAATTCATGTATTTTGGGTGTTCAATTGTACCACAGCATCACTCTGGTCATTCTCCAGCGGTGTGGACAAAAAACATTACTCATAGTATTGAATTCTAAAAAAAAAAAATCCATTAAAAATGGTAATTAGGATTATTGTTATTATTATCGGTTTATGCCACTTGCTGCAGCCCAAAAGATGACATGTGCAGTAGTTAGATGTACATCACTAAATTTGACTCACTGAAAACAAACAGCTGAGTAAACGCACATACATGTGTCTATTTCCATCTGCACTCTCTTACACAGGGAATAGAATCACTTGGTTATTGTAATGATCCAAGAAAGAAGGGTCACAGCTATCAAATATAAGAACTCATTCATCCTACACAATAGAAATTCTTTCAGTATTATCAAATTCCAGTTGCTTCAGGGGTAGTCTCCAATCCAGCTCTACCACAACCCGTGGGTCACTCTGTGCCACCCAATAACCCCCCCCCATGGAACAAACCGGCATCCGTCCCGGGATTTACTTCTTTTTTGGTGGAAAATATGGATAACTGGACACAAATACTAATGGATGCCTGGGGGTCTTGTTAAAAAAAAAGCTTAGTTCTTGTTCCAAGGGATTGTGCAAAGAAGAATGTTTGCAGGGTTGGGTTACAAGCTGTAGGCTCCTATTAGGCGGGATTTTTTTTTTTTTTTGCCCAGTAGTGGGCCGGGCGCAGTCTTGTTTCTCAGGGAGTGCTGGCTGAGACACCACTGGCAGGCAACCGCCCGAGGACGGCCAGAGTGATTTATAAATTAACCTGCTGAGGTCACTTCCCCTGAGATTCGTCTCGGAGTTGTGCTGTTCAAAAACAGCCCAGCCCGCCATATACATGTACATGTACAGGCATCCATGCATCCTTGAGTTGGCAAAGGAGCAGAAGTTGTGAATTTCATCTAGACCTTGGCATATCATGCAGAAAATATGCAAGCTGGATTTTGGACAAACACAGCCAGCTTGTAACTTTAAGAATACTCATTTACAGAACTGCTGTTGAGCCTCATAGGACAAATGGGTTTCGGACTGTAACTGCCGATTTTCCGTGTGATTTACTGCTTGCCGTGGGCCGTGATGACAACCGCTCGGCAGTGACTGTATTAAGCACTATCAAGAGGTGTACCACCCTTCTATCTGCTCCTTTGCAATAACTCAACCTACATATTAATTGCTGTCACTTTTAATGGACGGAGGGATAAACCCTCCTAGATTCAAGCAAGTAATATCCCAACAACCGTTGCAGTTCATGCCCACAATGGACAATTTCTTTCCAGCTAACAAGAGTAAAGAAAATTACACTGGCAAAGGGCAAATAAGGCATTCTTTATCCAAATAAATTGGTGACTGGACAGAAATTACGGATTAATTAAGGTGACTCTATGGAAAAAATGGCTCACCTCCACATTTCTCAATCTGCTGAATTTGTCCAGTGTCCGCGCAATGAACGTAATGTCCATCTTGTCTTGGATGACCGCTGGGTCGGCAGTGCTGCTTTCAATCTCTTTAGCTATGGGCACAGCCATGGTCAGATTGTTGTAGGTCATCTAGAAAAAAAAAAAAAACCACACACACGATGAAGACTGTGGGCTCTGTGTGTTCAAACACAGGGAAGCTTTTTTTCGGCGAACACAGATCTCCTTGAAGTGGTGAAGTGCTTTTTTTGGGCTGAACAAGTGTTTGTATGCTTACTTATATCAACCTTCCATGCTCAGCGGATCAACAAAGTTACTGTCTAGCTTCTGAACTTGTGTCTAAAATAGTGCGCAGTGCTTTGAGGTGTACCAGACTGTTTGGCCACTTTCACAGCTACAAGGATCGGGGATAAATGTTGGGGGTAGAGGCAGCTAATTAGAGAGAAACACCTCGTACACAGCAAAACCTCTTCCATAATAAGCAAAAATTTGATGCTCAACAACTCTGCTGCGGCAGCTCTCCCACTCACCAGAGAGGCCGACTCTAGACGCCACGTCAGCTCATTAGCATATTCGCACTGGCTGGTGTCTGGGTCCTCCCAGACTCCCCTCAAGTTGCACTTCCTAGTGGCAACGGCCTGGGAGAAGGAGCCCATGTGGCTGGTGCCCACCCCATGGGGGCAAACAATGCTCTCCGTGATGCCCGCAATGGTCTCAGGCCAGTTGAAAGTACCTACAATAAATTAATAAAATTCAAAAATAGGCGAAATGAAGGGGAAACAGGGATGCATGGACAAACCAATCTAAGACGGCCAGGTTGAACAAAAGTGAAATTCACTGTGGCCAAGAGGCCTGCTAATCCAATCCTAGGCTGGGGTAAAAAGTACATGAAAATTAAACTAAATAGTATTCTCAATATTGTTAATGTGTCTAGTTAAAGTAATAGAAAATTCAATATAATTCAAAAGTGGAAAAAACTGTGTTCTTGGATGTATTGGTATGAACACAAAGGAAGAGGAATGGGAAATGAAAATAAAGTTCCTGGAATGAAAAAGGAATTTAAAGCATCAGAATATTGGTACATGAAAGCAATAAGATATTGCAACTAAAAAAATTAAATGGAATAATTCAAACTGGGCATCAGTTTATCAAAAGATACAAAGTAAAATTCACCTTAAGAGAATAAGAAACCTTAAAATAACTAAGAAATTGGGCAGGGAAAAGACAGGTTTAATGATGACAATAATACACAAGGGGGAAACCTGTTCCACATTTACACAGAGATTCTCTGTCACAAACAATAAAGTGTAATCAATTTAGGCAAAAAGATTATGCGTCTAACAAATTAAATGGAGTAACTTAAGAGAAGAAATTAAAAGAGAAGAAATGAACAATGTTCAACACTTTATAAAAGAAAACTATGTAGTTAATTACCGAAAGCTTGAATACATGAAGTATAAAAACAAGCCAAAAGAAGGCAAAGGCAACCCACTTTCAGTTTACGTGGGGCTCCTCCTTCAAAGTTCAAAGCAAAAGAACTTTCTCATTTGTCTCAGGTGTTGGGCAGTGACACAACTAATCACCCACCCTCTTCTATTCGAGTGTCTCCGCCCCCTGGGGGCCTATCCTTCCCATAATGAAAACTCTTGTGACTGAATCTCATCACGTAACAATTAACTCGGGTTCAAAAGTACTTCACATTAGAAGAAATGATATTCTGAAATCTGCTATTGTGTTGGGGGAAAAGAGATATTCATACATGTCAAATCAAGAAATCTGTATTAATTTGATGCACATGTATAAATGCATGTTTACTTTCACTAAAATTCAAACCTCATCAAAACTTTTAAGAACTCGAGAAAAAGCAAAATACAGATACATATATGTAGGCCTACAAAGCATATAAAATGACACAGCATCCTTTAAATGCAATACACTAAAAAGCATTCTAATGACCTTAACAGTGCCAGCCGGTACTGATTAACATCTGAACCCAACAGTATCTGAATGGAGTGTCATGGGAGGAGAAACTGATACTGTCCCCATGGACCCCAGAGGAGTTGCCAGCTAGTTTGCCTGATGTTCCAATTTGGGGTAATACTTATTCCAGCTTGGGGGCTGATCCCCTCTGCACACCACAAGAGAGCTCACTGACAAGGGAGGGGGGGAAGGTTGGTTGCTGCGGCCAGCTCTTGGGCCAGCTCTTGACGGCTGCCTGCACAGAAGAGCCAGTTTCTTTCTTTTCTGGTTTCTTTTTTTTTTTTTGGAGCTGTCCAACTGCTCATGATTTAGTAACCAGATGGCTTCTTATGCCTTGGATCAAAGTCAACTGGATTTTTAAGTGTGTCATGTCAGCAAGACTGTGTACTGTGGAGCATTCCTGAACTGCTCTTTATACATGTACATGTACAGTGTATGCTGAAGTTCAAGCCATACGAGGACAGGTCAGGATTCAATTTTAATCAGCCTTCAAACTCTCTTCCACCAAAGGAGATCATGTCCTCCTTTCTGGAAGAGAGAATGGGTAAGTCGGCAAGCCTTCCCATGACATCAATGCAGCATCCTGTCTTAAAATATGTATGAAGAAGCTAGCCCCGTCTGGTATCCCAAGGCAAGGTTCAAAGGCCAACATATACTTTTTTCTATAATGAGACATTCCCTGCTGTGGACTGAAAGCAATTTATCTGAGCATTAGCATGGAGATGAGGCAGACCTGGAGTAATTAACTCGCATACCGGAGGGATTTTGGTCCCTTGTCATTTAATGCCAAGAAACCAGAATACATTTCAGGATCCTCTTTCAGTCACAAGAGTGAAAATATTTTGTACTCTGGTCAGTTTCTGAACGTTTGCTTTGGTTTCGTGAAATCTGGCACGTTATCAACGCCTGTCAGATACGGGAGAATGATGAGGCAACTGTGTACAGGCTTTTTTTCTGAAGAATCCAGAATTTGATGAGCTGCAGACCGCATTAGAATGGGTGGGGTGTAGGAAGGAAGCGCTTTACCTCGGTTGTCCAGCGTCTCCTTGGGGGGGCAGTATTTGGTGTCATTATTGTCCAGGATGATAACGGTGACCCTCTTGCGCTTGATGCCCCGCGAGGTGGTGACCCGACACTCGATGTCCCAGATGCTGGTGCCGTCCATCTGGATCTTGTAGAGCAACAGCGTGCTGCGGATGCGGGCTTGGTCCCGCAACACCGTGGTGGTGATGTTGACGCCGGCCGTCAGGTTGGTCTTGAGCAGCCGGCCACTCTTGAACCACTGGATGCGCTCCTCCGCCCCCTCCAGGTAGGTGGCCCGGCACTCGATGGGGATGGTATCCCCCTTGAACACCACCTGGCTGTTGTCGGGCTCCAGTTCGAACATGGGCAGCTCCAGCGGCCAGTCTGCACAGGCAGGGCGCGAGAGACAAAACAGGGTTTACATTCAAAAACCGTCTGGTGGCCGCTGAGCAGAAACTCAAAGACCTTTGCCTAATCCACAACCTGTTAAACATTTGAAGAAATACCCAAACTGAAAATGGCAATGAAAAACATGAAATGCAGTGATTCTAATGTGTGGCCTTTGACAGACCCCGTTTTCGTGTCCTGCTTGTGGTGGTCACAAGTCCCTACAGAGCCACCAACATAAGTCATCTGGTCTGGAAGTCAAGTCAGCAGCTATTCAAATGATCTGTGAAAGAATGTACTATCATGCATTGCTTGCGATCAGACTTGAGATTTGGCTTCAGACTCATGTCTGATGAACCTGTCAACTACTCTCCACCTATGAAACCTGTTCTTCTGTTAAGGTAACAGAGTGATAAATACAGGGCATTAGGGTAAAACACCACAACCACAGGTGCAAAAAATCTCTCCAGCCAAGACACAACTAATGCATCGTACTACTCGCATGAAGGACCAACGAGTCAATAACTACAGAGGAAGAGCCTACCACAGTGCAGCTCCTTCCTCTTGAGCTGTCGGACTTTCTCGCCTCGCATGGACTGCGGGAAGGCGCACACCGTGGTGTCGGCTATGCGCACCTTGTTGTCCTTCATCCATCTCACTATCCACTTGAGTTGGCAATCACACACGAGATAGTCGGAGGCAAAATCTCTGCGGCCAAAGGGGAGGTGGGACAATTGCTCAAACAGCTAAGAGGTGCAATTCTAACGGCTTCTATTGTTCTGCTTTTTTGTTCAACGTCACCAATTCTCAGTTCTCAATTTTTCATTGGTTTATAGAACCATCCTTGCTTTTCTGTACGCTATCCTACACATGAAACCTCCTCCAGTGTATTAGTGCCCTGTATTCAGCTCACCGTCTCCCTTCAGCAATGCCCGGTTGTAGGAATTTACATTTAGGCCAGAGTGTAGCAAAATTTGCAACAGGATAGAAATGTGATCTCATGCTCAACTTACAGATAAACAATTTCTTGAAGCCTGTCAAAACTTGCAGCGGCAATGGTGGAAATCTGGTTGTATGAGATACTTCTGCAAACAGTATAAAACAGGGAAGAATATGGATGAAGGTTTTTTTTCAGGAAAACACCTGCATATTGCACGCTCTGCTTCAAAGCACTCTTGACTACATTTGACGAGATGCACGAATGAAAACGAGACAAAATGTGGCACTTACAAGTCAACCAGATTGCCCAGGCCTACAAACATGCTGTTGTTGACGCCACCAAGCCGATTTCTGGACAGGTCCCTGGAGGACAACATGCATAAAAATTCCGGAAATTTATGACACCGAAAAAGGACATTCTCCAGGATGTGGCAATAAACATTTTAAAGGACAGAATCCCATTTATCTTTCCTGAAAAGAAAGAAGACGTGCAGAAGGTACATGTTCTGTTCTCAACTCAGTGTTGAAATGTACATGTACAGGGATACCCCAGGTCATAGGTCAATGAAAGTACGGCAATGTGTGTAGATGCATTACATCAAGTTTGAGAGACTTTATAATCCTCAAATACACAAAACACTGAACTTTGCTTTAACCCTCACCGCCAAGCATATTGTTTGGCTTACACTACACAGTACTACAAAATACCAAGTATTAGCCTGAGCCTGAAGGACCTAGCGCTTCAGATCACTTCTTCTGGCTTGGTTACTTCCATTGTTACTTGTACAGAGAACAATAAAGCCATGCATTCATAGTGCCGAAGCACTGTATGGTACATTGTCTTTTCTATTTTATTTCATGGCTTCAGGGAACAATAAGGTCACGTCCTCTTACAAGGAACAGCACTGAATACTGCATTTTACTACAAGTACCGGTAGTAATTTGCAGTACTATGTAGGGTTAGGGTTAATATTTCTATATCACTAAAGACAAGATATAGGCCTATTTTATAAGTGGAGGCACATGAACTTGTACCAATATACATAGATTGTATCATCTTCCCAAAAATATAAGTACAAATAAATTATAATTTTCTTAATGTTATACATTGTCTGTCTACAGCTGAAAAAGGGTTTGTGCATGCAAGATAGGAAGTGGGGGGGGGACTCAATCAATAGGCAATTTCCCCACAGCACAACAACAGCCCAGAAGCCATGGAGATATTCAGCACGGGGCCTCTTGATCCCAACGAGATCTTAGAGGAGAGACAGAGTGGTTTATACAACACCTCTGTGTAAACAGGCCGAGTGGGACAAACTGGCTCCTTTGGCAAAAACATCCCCCGCTGACGAGGAAAAAAGATGGGAGGGGGGGTCGGATGTGTCTAAGCCTATGAAAACACAACGATACACGTATGTACTGTACATTTGAGGTAAAAAAAAAGAAATTTACACGCATTGCCTGCATTGGTTAAAAAGATAAAATACTGTTTGGAATATGTGCACATTATCTGTAGGCAAGGAAAATCCACGACATTATCACGTCAGTGTCTTTTGAAGTTGAGAATGGCTACCGTTAATGGGCAAATTCTAGCAACTCTAACCGACCCACAACCGCGGAAGATGTACCGAAGCTCAACGCAGTTGCCTGCACAAGAACTCGTGGAACAGACAGGCAAGGAAATTTTCATTCCAAAAAAAATAAAAACTGGACAAGTTGACAGTCTTTGATATCTCCTGCTACCCGCGACGAGCAAAGCCCGCACCTCTGAACTACCGTAGCATGCCCTTTAGCAGGCTTCTTTCACCAGCCTCAGAAAAACCGACAAGGTTCTGTATGAAGCAGGAACTGGACGCTTCATAGCCATGCAATGACATCATACATGCATGCAATATACAATGTGCACGTAGGCAATTCCAGAAATTAGGGGTACCTGTTACATCTGATCTTTGTCATGTGACATGGAAATATCACCGGAATTGATTTCAAACTACCCGATATTAGTTTTCATTTGGCAGGTACTTTGCATTCATTCATCACTCCTGGAAATTAGAAAATGTATTCTGAACTTACAAAATTTTATGTCGGATGTGTCAGGGCCAAAAAAAAACAAACCTAATTTCTGGAATTACCCATACATATGTGATTTGGGAAAACTGGAGAAAATACAAGATGTCGTATTAGTACTATAAGGTTAACAAAATTTTCCCATTAAAAAAGGTCGTTAATGAAATTGTTTTAAAACTTGAAATACAAGCAAAGTCCTGGTGAAGATTTGAGAAACAGTCCCCCAAAATGATTTTTATCAATGAAATAATGTGGAACATTACCTGTTTCTTTATAAAGTTCTTTCATGCTTAGAAGAGGGCCCTAAAATTACATTATTTTCAAAATCATCAGTGCTATAAGGTCGTTACCACCATAACGACCTTATGGCACTGACCCCGGACGAAGGAAGAAGTCCCCTGACACAAAGTCTCTGTTCCTTGGGGCTAGTACATGTACATATACATAGTTGTACCATGTTCCTTCCTCCATGGTTGTACATGTACAGGCAGGACAGGACATCCCACATGCGGCACATTCCAATGAATGAGATCTCTGATGCCCTGGAATGCGGCTACCCAATGAATAACAACCCTTAGATTTTACTCCATGTACTATTCATACTGTTAGGCAATCCACGCTCCCCATCCCAGTCATATTGGATTCCCCCCAATAAATGACGGCCACTGACCAATTAACTGAATTGGCAGTGATCAAATGAATTATGGACATGCCAAACACTGCTGGAGGTTTGTGAAGAGATTTCATTTCCCGTAGAACACAGCTTACAACAGTGTGTGCAGGGTACTTGCATTCTATGTTCTGCACATGTATATGGGCACATAACTGTACATGGCTATTTTTCACAAGGGATAACCTCTACGTACATGTACATGGTGAAATAAAGCACCTGCAAATATACATGGACTTTGGCACTGATGCCTTTTCTATGTGATTTGAACATAGCATTTCAATGCCATGAATACATTAATTTGTAATGTACATGTATAACATTTTAATGTACAAGTACATCTACGTAATGAAGACTACTGGGCCCCATGCACATGTACAAAAGGCTTAAAATACATGAATATTTCTTTATCAGGAGTACTCAAGGAACACAAACCCTCTTTCCAACGTCAAGGATTTGTAAATGCCATCATATGGCTGGCACCCCCATGTACACACCAGCATTATACAGTCACATTCAGTGCTTTCTTCCTTTGTCGGCCTTTCCAGCACCCTCTTCAAACCACGCACATAGCCAATGATGCACAATCAGAAAAACTAGGCCCTTTATGAATGTACAAGCTATGTATTAACCCCTACCCTCCCTTATCCTTCAAAATCCACCCGACTTTGGAGGATATTGCGGGATTGAGAATGGTTATGCCATGTTACTGTTACTTTATATGAGGCTTGATGCCTCTTAGAAAGCTTGATGCCTCTTAGAAAGCTTAAGTACAAAGAGCATGTCACTAGGTTTCTGCAGAGTGGAGTTCGAGGGTTAAGAAGGTTCCTTACTCCTCTTCCCCCCCAAAAAGCTTAAATTAAGCTGCATATGTTCACAAAAAGCTGCTACTTACAACTTCTGGAGTTGGTCCAAACCATCAAAACTTTTCGGCTCGATGTACGAAATGCAGTTCCCACTCAAGTTCCTAGGGATGAAGGAACGGGAGAAACGACATTTGTAAACAGGGTTCCCACCCCGCATTCTATCTCACTGAACACACAACAGGAAAAACCTCAAAATCCCGAGAGATACACCACACAGAAACAACCCAAATCTTTCAATGAGGGGGGGGATCCAAAATATGAACTTATTTACATGTACGCATATTTCCTATGTCTCCAAATACTAGGGGAATTGTGACAATTTTTGGACAAGATTTTGATGTTGGAGAGTTTGCTGATGTCAATCCTAATTTATTGGAACTTTTAAGCTGGTCCCTTGACTGGCAGCCTGGTCTGTATTTATTTAGCATTCCCCAGCAATCAGTGTAAAAAAAAAGAAAAAAAAAAAAAAGTCACGCCTGATTTGTGTCATCCTCCAGTGAAGCAAGGGTAACAAGAGTGGACCATGCACTGGTACACTGTCAAGTGCGTCAACATACCACTCCACCTGCAGCTGGTCGGTATTATGGAATAAAGACCCGGCAAGGTGCACCCCCTGCAAAATTCAAATACAGGCTTGTCCCACTGTGGGCCAAACATTCCGCATTACATGCTGCTGGCAGATTTGCAGAAGCCTTGGGTCAATAAATAGCACAGCAGTCGGTCAAGCTACCGGTGAAGTGATCGTCTTCAAAACAAGGACAGGACATGTACCAGTAGAAGGGAATTTTGTACACAACAATTAATATGTACATGCACATGTACATTGTACATCATGGTCTCGAGCGAGAGCATCTGTTGGCTTACAGATAAAGAAATGAGTGGTGCTAAGCCCAGAAAATTTGGAATTGTAAAAGACTTTTAAGGTTTGGTGTCCAACAATATGAAGCGAGCGTCCATCTGCTGAGCCTGAAATAATCACTAAAGTGATTTAGTGCGTATGAATTACTGCATTACGGCAGCGTATTAGTTTGAATCTCCAATTTCTTGTTCCTTGCACAAATCTAAAGTGATGAAAAGACCCTAGCTTTAAATGCTGAACAGTTGGGTGCATGCAATTCCGACAGACTGAAGGATTCAGAACACACTGGCGGTGAAAAAGACAAATCCAATGCTATGAAGTTCTCTTTGCAGTAACTACCCATTCTGTGCCCATGTATTCCCCCCCCCTCTATCCAATCACGGTCAGTGGTTGTCATTGCCTGGGATGTGTGAACAGTTTGGCCTGGGCTTTCTCTCCCCTCACACCATTGCCTTTTGTCTGATTGTTACCTCTGAGGGCCCAATTACGGGGCTCTACCAACACCCCGAAAATCAACAGATTTGTGCTGGGAGCAATTGCGGGCTGGCTGCCTTATATTTGGCGGCAAGGTTGAGTGGTTTCCTGAGGACCTGTGACAAGAGATGGCTATAAATTAATCAGCTAAACCCCCCCCCAACTTGCTACGCCCCCAATTGTGAGCTGAATATTTTATCATTATCCACTTGTAAAAACTCACCTCTTCCAGAATTACTTGTTAGCAATATAGTCCAGTTTGGCTAACTAAGAAGCCTTTTTATTTGGTTGTAATTGTGTAATTTGAAAGTTTTGTATTTCTTATGTATCAGCTTTTAGCCTGTTTATGATATTATAATTGTCTTTCTTTTTAATCTTTTTAATGGTATTTAGCGTACAGCACTTTGTGATGTCGTTGACATGGAAAGCGTTTTTAAATCATTCATATTACATGTGTTATTATTATGTGTACGTACATGTACCGGTACCGTACATGCACAAAATGGTAACTAGTACATGTACATGTATTTTTGCAATGTGTGGACATGTCCAGTGCCCTTCATGCATATACTGTAGGTATGTGTGTACATGGTACTGGTCCTTGAGCATTCTTATGAAAAGGTACATGTACATGTGCATTGGCTCAACTAGAAGTCCAGCTGTGATACTCATAACATCAGGACATTTCTCTGTGTTATGAGCATTAGGGCTAGAGTGACACTAATGGGTAATTCCGGAGATTAGGAGTCCAAAAGTGTAAAATTATTCTGTCCCTGTTACATCTGACCTTTTTATTTGACAAGGAAATTTCACCCGAATTGATTTTAAAGCTGCTACTATTTGTTTGGCTGGTAATTTACATTCATTCAGCACTCTTGGAAATTAGAAAATGTGTTCTGAACTTACAAAATCCTGTGTCAGATGTGACAGGGACACGAAAAACATGGACCCCAAATTTCTGGAATGACCCTAATTATAAAGGGTCCCCATTCTGTTAAGAAACTTAACAGCTGTTTGTCTGGCTTCATGTGATCCGCAAACACATGCCACTGGTAGACACAACTATCAAGGATTTTGTATGTAATGTCCTCTATATCCTATGATCTACTGCTTCTTTCCAATGTCATGCGTTTGGGTACAGCTACAAATAATGTATGCATCTACGGCATATGACCGCAACAACTACCGGTAGCCAGCTGCTCCCATGCCCATCGGTGACAGTATTAATGCTGGTCATAGCCACATAATTTGGATGTAGCCGGTCATGGTCAAAACACGAACAGGCTAACTCGCAGTGCCGGAAGACTGAAATGCATAAGCACGAGCACAGAGTGATAAGCACCAAAAACAAGCAGGCCTGTTCAGCTTGGGGTTTGAAGTTTAAACATATAAAAAATTAAAAAAAAATTGTGCGTCAGCAACTCTTGCCGACAGCAGGTCAAAACAGGGATATCTTGGGAGTTTGTTCCTGACACCGCTGCAGGACACAATACTGCATCCAGCGGGACAAATTGGAACTTGGATTCTCCTCTGTGTCACGCTCCGTTTCCCCGTTTCGTCTTCTCTCCCGCCGCCACCAAAGCCTCCAGATCTAATTATTTACGCCAGGCCGCATGTAAATGTTCGGATGCATTAATGTGCGCTGGAGGGGTGTCAGTGTGGCGTGGTTAATCAATGTGACAGGGTATGTGGGCAGGCTTTTATTTCCATACAACACACATGTCTCTCTTTATCTATTTTGAAAATCGCAGCATTCTTTTTAAATCACACTGAGACACACTAAAAATTACAGAAATTTCCCGTTGAAAACACGGGGATAAAGATGTTCCATACTGGTACATGATTATCCATTTTGTTTTGGTTCTTTTTTTTGAGGAAGTCCCAAAGGGGGAAAACTGCATTTGAAGACGACTCCCCAGGAATCCAAAGACCAGGCCCTGTCACTTTGAGCTTTAAAAAGTAAATTCAGAGGAGAACAAACTAGCAAATCCTGTGCACAGCCAACTCACAATTTGCCTCTTATCACAGAAACTGTCACAAATAATATTCAGGTTTTAGATGTCTTGCCTTAATTCAAAGCTTGGAAAAAAACTCACTGGAATCTGATTCTAAGAAGTGACTTCCTACCTTGTGAAGGCCCATGTACCACATACGCCTGCCTGTATTTAGGCTATAAATTAGGGGTCCAATTTTTTTCGTGTCCCTGTCAAATCTGACAGACGATTCTCTAAAGTTCAGAACAATTCGCCAATTTCCATGAGTGATGAATTAACGCAAATTTCCTGCCAACCAAGTAGAAATAGTCTGACCTCAATTTCAGTGATATTTCCATGTCAAATTACACAGGTCATGTCAGGTGTAACAGGGACACAAAATGTCACACTGGTATATTATGACATGCAGCACACAATTCAGAGTAAGCCCTCCATGAACGCTGTGTATGCAGCACTGTGCCTAATTTTCACCTCTAATGTGCGTACATGTAACTAACACTGTAGACCCCCCTATTGAAATGGATCCAGAGTTCCAAGCATGTTCATGTCCTTGTTCAGTGCCCTTACACTTCACTTTACATCCCCAAAATACTGCTTGTGTATTAATAGGTTTTATGGAGTCTCAATGTGCATAGCATAGTAGCAGCACAGTCATAATTCACTGAGACCAGTTCACCTGTTTTTACAGTCCCAAGTGAGCCCTGCATGTATTTTTATGGGGGGGGGGCAAGTGCTGAATGATCTAATTTACAGCCCGTAAAAAATTACGCCTAGCACAGCCGAGTACATTGGCCAATAGGGCAGAATGGTGTTTGATTGCCTCTTGATGAAGTGTGAAATGAAGCAAGCAAGATTGTTACTGAAGTCCGAGCGCCACATGCATGGGGGGGAGGCATTTTCCTCCGGGGACAATTTCTCATCTGGCATTCATGACTCCCCGATTGCTGCTGTGGACCCTTTTTTGCTCAATTTAAATGTACATACTTGTACGCTAGTGTGCAGAACACAAAATGTAGAAATGACACAACTTTATTTGAGAAACCGTGGTAAACGGTACATGCCGAACAAAACTGGTCCATTTTAAACCGCAGTAACCTTAACCAATTGATCAAATTTGTACTGTCCCAGTTCTAGTATGTGTTGAGAATGCACAGTACAGTGACCAGAACCTGTCTGGATTCTGTCTAAATTTGAGACTTTTCAGGAGACATATATGGGTAATTCCAGAAATTAGGGGTCCATTTTTTTGAGTGTGTCCCTGTCACTTCTGACAAACATGTATGATTGTGTAAAGTTCAGAACATATATATTCTACTTATTTCCCAAGAGTGATGAATTATTACCGGCCAAACAAATGGTAATAGTTTAAAATCAATTCCAGTGATATTTCCATGTCAAATGACAAAGGTCTGATGTAACAGGGACACAAAAATGTTACACTTTTGGACCCCTAAGTTCTGGAAATACCTGTATACAACTTCCTTTTTGACAAGTGCAAACACCGAGTAAAAACTCTACCATTTTACCACACAAAACAGGCAAGGCAGAGGTTCACATGAACTTCCACTGGAGCAATCATAACATTCACACGCATGCATGCCTTCCAGACAAATTCCTCCACAAAAGCTGCACCGGGGCCGGCCATAATGGAAAAACACTCATGAAAAAAAAAAAAAAAAAAAAAAA